TTTACGTAAATATGTAAATAATCATAATGATCTCTATATATTATATAGAGTTCATTATGATTATTTACATATTTGCATAAATAATTATCGTAATTTCTATATATAAGGTAACATAAAAAATAGGGACCGTGTATAGGAACTTCTGGGACACCCTGTATATTAGAATCAATTAATGGTCTAGAATTGAATGTTAGAGAGTGAAAACATATAAATAAATATTTTTTACAACCTTCATAAAATACGAATCATAATTTCAAGATAATATCTAGTAGGGTTTTGATATAGTATTCCTGGTGAAATTACCACTAGTTTGTATAGTAAAATTATATTTTTACACTTGCAACAAAATTTTCAATTTGTGCAAGTAAAATTTAATCACTAGTTTTGAGCAAACAAAATCACTGGTTTCGATTTTCTTGCGGATGAATCTCGATTGCTTTCTGATTACGGTTCGAGACTGGAAACTGAATTACGATCACGGGTAATTTATCAATGGAGGACTACACAACTGATAAAAAATCAATTCGTATTAAGGGTTTTTACTTTTCTAAAAATTATTAGACACTTATTGAATTTCGAAGAAAATTGGTCGAAAGTGTAATTATGATTCAAAGGTTATTCTAGACTATAGATGCCTGACAAAACTATTTTGACGAAACTCATATGTTTCGTCATTGACGAAACTATGGTTTCGTAGGTCACGTGAGTTCCGTCAGGCATACTTTAATTTTTATAATTATTTTCATTTATATAAAATCCTGCCTAGTCGCCAAATTACTCTTAGGTTCTCAATTTGAAAATGAAAACGGAACTTTAATAATTTATAATAAATTTGACCGGTTTGAGTTTGATACTATTGATCGAAAGTGAGAGGTTTTGGTTATTATCCAAAATGAAATAGAAATCCGATTCACAAACCCAAACTATGTAATAATGCCATTATTCAGAAATATTTGGATCATGACCCTGATGTAGACTAATCCTCTCCTGCTGGAACCTCCTCTTCAAGATATCGAATCAGTTTCACTCTCATCTCAGTTTGATCATCTCCTCGTAACACATCACTAACAAAATTCGCTTCAACTTGCATTTGGACCTGAATAATTTTTATATTTTATAAAAGAACTTCATTAAAGTTTATCCATTAATTCTACTATTAGTTTCAATCAATTACCATTTCTAAGGCACCTCTAAGCACTCCGCATAATATATTAGAGTACCATAGTTCATCGCCAGCTCCATCATCAGGCAATTCTACAAATTCGGCTAAAGGATTCTCATCGAATATGAGTGAAAACTCCTTTCCATTTGCGGACCAGTTTGATATCGTTGGTGTTATGTTCAAAAAGATTTTATAACCAACCTGATCAAGAATAATAAATATAGTTATGTTATTTTATAACAAATGTAATAAAGTTCTTATCTAATATCGGATAAAACCTTAGAAATCACTTCTGCAGTCTCTCGAAAATCTGTACAACGTCCTAGATTGTTGGTCGTTTTGGCAAGAAAATCTTCAATTAATCGGATTCCAATGTTATAGCCCCTGTATGATTGATTATTAATAATGTAGAATTCTCTAATTAAACTTTTTGGTAGTGAACGCACATTTTTTCCAATTGTTTGTTCACTTCTTGATAATCCTCATAGTCTTTAACGAGCTGGGCAACAACAGAGCCATAGGTTAATGTAAATAATTCTGCGTTCTATTAACAAAATAAAGTATAAATAAATAAGAAAGACAAGAACAAGCATATATCAAATTTTATGCTTAAGCAAAGCGCTTACGATCTTTTCTACACGATTCTTCCAAACCTCCTCACCAACGGTTTTGTACTGTTTAGACATTATTATTTAAACTGTAAACAAGCATGGAGGACTTTCTCACTTTTCGGGCTTTGTCATATGATAGTTGACCAATCAGAAACTGACTTTATAGATAATCGTTGAACAATTTTACTATCACGTAATGCGGTGTATTACAAATTTTGGGCAAAATTAAGTATAATTTAGGCCGGGTAGTGGTGCGATCCGAAATCCGTTAATCCGGATATCCGCTTCAAAATCCGATCCTTTACGGATAACGGATAGTCCGT